ATCTGCTGCCATCTACCAGGATGATGAAGATGAAACGAGGGTGGACATTTCAGCAAGACAATGATCCCAAACACAGCCAAGGAAACTCTCGATTGGTTTCAGAGAAAGAAAGTAAAGCTGCTAGAATGACCAGCCAATCACCTGACTTGAAACTAATAGAAAATAAGAACTAAAGATCAGAGTTCCTAGAAGAGGCCCACAGAACCGTCAAGATTTGAAGACTGTTTGTGTGGAAGAATGGGCCAAAATCACACCTGAGCAATGCATGCCACTAGTTTCTCTTACAGGAGGCGTCTTGAAGCCGTCATTAACAACAAAGGCTTTTGTATTAAGTATTAAATACATTTCAGTAAGCGTGTTCAATACTTTTTCCTTGAGTCATTCCATTTTATTACACAGAACTTAATTTCTGAACTTATTTGTTTTGTTTTATCTGTATGTATGGATTACTTGGGTTGTTATCGACATCTGCTGAAAATTTCATGTCAACAGCACCTTTAAAAATATATATACTGGGAAAAATGGTGACGCTTTGGATAAAAGCGTCTGCTAAATGACTAAATGTAAATGTATTAGTTTTATTTTCTCAGGTATTTGTATTATATTGGTGCACCTGCTGATCAAATTCAAGCTTCACTTTTTGCCTGAGAGTGTGGCTGTGGTTTCGCTGGGTAAGTGACTTTATCTCATTCTCTTCAACTTTTGCCTCACAGTTGCTTTTGAAACCGTTCCAGTTCCATTCAATGCTGGCCGAAGCCTTTGAGTCTGCCATAATGATAAAAACAGAAGTTTGTCACAAAACAGCATGTGTTCCTGTTGCATATGACTAAGCGCGGTGTCTTTGAAATTAGATCGCTATATTTTAAGAGCAATCAGTTAACTGATCAATAATGAATAGACCTGCATAAGATAAAGAGAGGACAAAACAGGGAGGGGACGAACTAATCAGAAGCACACACACATATTCCATTCACGTGAAGCAGTAAGTTATTACTGAGAATAAGCTGTCAAAAGTAGGTGTGTTTGTAACGGTTTACGCTCGCCTGTCCTAGTTTTCACCGAGGGCCGAATTCTGCCAACAATACCAAGCCAATGGCCACTGACCTATATATATATATATATATATATTACCTGGATGCTCCATGGCTGTTTTTTTGTTTTGTGATGATTGTTCATGAGTCCTTGTTTGTTCTGAACAGTTAAACTGTCTGCTGTTCTTCAGAAAAATCCTCCAGCTCCTGCAGATTCTTCAGTTTTCCAGCATCTTTTGCATATTTGAACCCTTTCCAGCAGTGACTGTAAGATTTTGAGATCCAAACACGATGCATTAAGAACTGAGGGGTGAAACTTTTGAACAGGATGAAGATGTCCCAATTTTTCTTATTTTGCTGAATTATAATTTTTTTGGGCCATAATCCAGAAGTGGAAAGAACATAATTTCACCATAAACCAGCCACGACCAGGTGCTCCTTGCAAGATTTCTGACAGAGCAGTGAAAACAATTATCAGAAGAGTTGTCCAAGGGCCAAGGATCTCTTGTGGAGAGCTTCAGAAAGTTCAGGAATTAGCATGTACAACTGTTTCAAAGAAAACAATAAGTAATGCACTCAACCGCTGCGGGCTGTATGCACGCTCACCACGCAAGACTCCATTGCTGAAGAAAAAGCATGTTGAAACTCGTTTAAAGTATGCTGCACCACATTTGTACAAGCCTGTGAAATACTGGGAGAATATAGTCTGGTCCGATGAGACCAAAATTAAAGTCTTGGTATGCCATAATACACACCATGTTTGGAGGCCAAATGGCACATCACCCCAAAACATCATGTTGTAGCACTGGCAAAATTCATATAATTGAAGGCAGGACGAATGGAAAAATGTACCAAGATATTCTTGATAAATATCTGCTGCCATCTACCAGGATGATGAAGATGAAACGAGGGTGGACATTTCAGCAAGACAATGATCCCAAACACAGCCAAGGAAACTCTCGATTGGTTTCAGAGAAAGAAAGTAAAGCTGCTAGAATGACCAGCCAATCACCTGACTTGAAACTAATAGAAAATAAGAACTAAAGATCAGAGTTCCTAGAAGAGGCCCACAGAACCGTCAAGATTTGAAGACTGTTTGTGTGGAAGAATGGGCCAAAATCACACCTGAGCAATGCATGCCACTAGTTTCTCTTACAGGAGGCGTCTTGAAGCCGTCATTAACAACAAAGGCTTTTGTATTAAGTATTAAATACATTTCAGTAAGCGTGTTCAATACTTTTTCCTTGAGTCATTCCATTTTATTACACAGAACTTAATTTCTGAACTTATTTGTTTTGTTTTATCTGTATGTATGGATTACTTGGGTTGTTATCGACATCTGCTGAAAATTTCATGTCAACAGCACCTTTAAAAATATATATACTGGGAAAAATGGTGACGCTTTGGATAAAAGCGTCTGCTAAATGACTAAATGTAAATGTATTAGTTTTATTTTCTCAGGTATTTGTATTATATTGGTGCACCTGCTGATCAAATTCAAGCTTCACTTTTTGCCTGAGAGTGTGGCTGTGGTTTCGCTGGGTAAGTGACTTTATCTCATTCTCTTCAACTTTTGCCTCACAGTTGCTTTTGAAACCGTTCCAGTTCCATTCAATGCTGGCCGAAGCCTTTGAGTCTGCCATAATGATAAAAACAGAAGTTCGTCACAAAACAGCATGTGTTCCTGTTGCATATGACTAAGCGCGGTGTCTTTGAAATTAGATCGCTATATTTTAAGAGCAATCAGTTAACTGATCAATAATGAATAGACCTGCATAAGATAAAGAGAGGACAAAACAGGGAGGGGACGAACTAATCAGAAGCACACACACATATTCCATTCACGTGAAGCAGTAAGTTATTACTGAGAATAAGCTGTCAAAAGTAGGTGTGTTTGTAACGGTTTACGCTCGCCTGTCCTAGTTTTCACCGAGGGCCGAATTCTGCCAACAATACCAAGCCAATGGCCACTGACCTATATATATATATATATATATATTACCTGGATGCTCCATGGCTGTTTTTTTGTTTTGTGATGATTGTTCATGAGTCCTTGTTTGTTCTGAACAGTTAAACTGTCTGCTGTTCTTCAGAAAAATCCTCCAGCTCCTGCAGATTCTTCAGTTTTCCAGCATCTTTTGCATATTTGAACCCTTTCCAGCAGTGACTGTAAGATTTTGAGATCCAAACACGATGCATTAAGAACTGAGGGGTGAAACTTTTGAACAGGATGAAGATGTCCCAATTTTTCTTATTTTGCTGAATTATAATTTTTTTCCATTTAGATCTGCCCTTCGGAAGCAACAGAAGATACTTGCATGTTTCCCGGAAGACAAATTAAGTACAATTGATCTTCAAATTCAAAAAGTTCTGCTCTTAATGCATCGTGTTTCCTTCAGGAGCATCAGTGAATGGTTGAACCTTTTTTAATAGTTGTGTTTGAGTCCCTCAGTTGTCCTCAGTGTGAAAAGATGGATCTCAAAATCATACAGTCACAGTTGGAAAGGGTTCAAATATGTAGAAGATGCTGGAAAACTGAAGAATCTGCAGGAGCTGGAGGATTTTTCTGAAGAACAGCAGGCAGTTTAACTGTTCAGAACAAACAAGGACTCATGAACAATCATCACAAAACAAAAAAACAGCCATGGAGCATCCAGGTAATATATATATATATATATATATAGGTCAGTGGCCATTGGCTTGGTATTGTTGGCAGAATTCGGCCCTCGGTGAAAACTAGGACAGGCGAGCGTAAACCGTTACAAACACACCTACTTTTGACAGCTTATTCTCAGTAATAACTTACTGCTTCACGTGAATGGAATATGTGTGTGTGCTTCTGATTAGTTCGTCCCCTCCCTGTTTTGTCCTCTCTTTATCTTATGCAGGTCTATTCATTATTGATCAGTTAACTGATTGCTCTTAAAATATAGCGATCTAATTTCAAAGACACCGCGCTTAGTCATATGCAACAGGAACACATGCTGTTTTGTGACGAACTTCTGTTTTTATCATTATGGCAGACTCAAAGGCTTCGGCCAGCATTGAATGGAACTGGAACGGTTTCAAAAGCAACTGTGAGGCAAAAGTTGAAGAGAATGAGATAAAGTCACTTACCCAGCGAAACCACAGCCACACTCTCAGGCAAAAAGTGAAGCTTGAATTTGATCAGCAGGTGCACCAATATAATACAAATACCTGAGAAAATAAAACTAATACATTTACATTTAGTCATTTAGCAGACGCTTTTATCCAAAGCGTCACCATTTTTCCCAGTATATATATTTTTAAAGGTGCTGTTGACATGAAATTTTCAGCAGATGTCGATAACAACCCAAGTAATCCATACATACAGATAAAACAAAACAAATAAGTTCAGAAATTAAGTTCTGTGTAATAAAATGGAATGACTCAAGGAAAAAGTATTGAACACGCTTACTGAAATGTATTTAATACTTAATACAAAAGCCTTTGTTGTTAATGACGGCTTCAAGACGCCTCCTGTAAGAGAAACTAGTGGCATGCATTGCTCAGGTGTGATTTTGGCCCATTCTTCCACACAAACAGTCTTCAAATCTTGACGGTTCTGTGGGCCTCTTCTAGGAACTCTGATCTTTAGTTCTTATTTTCTATTAGTTTCAAGTCAGGTGATTGGCTGGTCATTCTAGCAGCTTTACTTTCTTTCTCTGAAACCAATCGAGAGTTTCCTTGGCTGTGTTTGGGATCATTGTCTTGCTGAAATGTCCACCCTCGTTTCATCTTCATCATCCTGGTAGATGGCAGCAGATATTTATCAAGAATATCTTGGTACATTTTTCCATTCGTCCTGCCTTCAATTATATGAATTTTGCCAGTGCTACAACATGATGTTTTGGGGTGATGTGCCATTTGGCCTCCAAACATGGTGTGTATTATGGCATACCAAGACTTTAATTTTGGTCTCATCGGACCAGACTATATTCTCCCAGTATTTCACAGGCTTGTACAAATGTGGTGCAGCATACTTTAAACGAGTTTCAACATGCTTTTTCTTCAGCAATGGAGTCTTGCGTGGTGAGCGTGCATACAGCCCGCAGCGGTTGAGTGCATTACTTATTGTTTTCTTTGAAACAGTTGTACATGCTAATTCCTGAACTTTCTGAAGCTCTCCACAAGAGATCCTTGGCCCTTGGACAACTCTTCTGATAATTGTTTTCACTGCTCTGTCAGAAATCTTGCAAGGAGCACCTGGTCGTGGCTGGTTTATGGTGAAATTATGTTCTTTCCACTTCTGGATTATGGCCCAAACAGTGCTCACTGGAATATTCAGAAGTATAGAAATCCTTCTGTAACCAATGCCATCAGTATGTTTTGCAACAATAAGGTTGTGAAGGTCTTGAGAAAGCTCTTTGCTTTTACCCATCATGAAATGTTTCTTGTGTGGCACGTTGGTAATGAGACACCTTTTTATAGGCCATCAGTTGGGACTAAACTAAAGCTAATATTAATTTCCACTGACGAGGGGCATGATTACTTTCTAATTACTGATAGATTTTAGCTGGTGTCTTGGCTTTCCATGCCTTTTTGCACCTCCCTTTCTTCATGTGTTCAATACTTTTTCCCTGTGTCATTCATATATATATATAAATATATATATATATACGTATGTTTTGTTTTTCTGTTTTTTAAGTCACATCAAAAGTGACAGCTGAAAAATTGTATAATAGTAAAGGTTTCTATAATATAAAATACTTATATTTCATAACAGTGGTCTAATTTAGAATTTTCTATTTAAAGAAATACATTTATCATAGTTTCTACAAAAATATTTAACAACACAGCTGTTTTCGCTGATAATAATAATGAGCTTAATAATCTTGGTGAGTATAAGGGACTTCTTTCAAAAACATTTTATAAATCTTTCTGACCACCAACTTCTGAACAGTATCATATGGGTAATAAAGGTTACATTGTTATGTTATTTTTCTTTTAGCATGTTATGTATTTATCTGCATGTGCTTCTTCCTTCATCATCATCTCTTTTTAATCAGACATTTTGTGATTAAAATCACTTTTTT